TCCGACTCGAACGAAAAAATATATCGAATAAATATAAATCGAAAATCGATCTGAAAATGATCGTTTTCACGATAGAATTGGGAAAATTCTCGCGGAATTCGAGTAGGAACGAAATAGGAAGCGGGAAGGTGTCGATCGTTCTCCTCTCTAAGTACCGGCTACCGCGATTGTTGTCTTTTAAGGGAGGCGTGTCTGCCAGTTCCGTCGTCGTCGTCGTCGTCGTCGTCGTCGTCGTTGTCGCAGGTGGGTCAAAACGAAGAAGCGAACGAAGAAGAAACCCGTTCGACGAGTTCCAAAGTGGCTGCGGTCGCCGGCGTGATGTAATCGTTCATTGTGGTCTGCCTTTCGATTGGCCGTCGACTTTCCTCCGCTCTCCCCAATTCTCTTGGCCCCCTATATAAACGGACGACGCTGCGTCGAGAGAAGAAAAAGCTCGTTCGAAAAAGAGGGAAAAATTTGCTCGTCGTTCCTTTCGAGAAGAAAAAAAAAAAAAAAAAGATTCTCGAAATTTTGGTTATTATTCCCCAACGATTCCACGGAACTGGAAGAGAGAGAAGAATTCGTTTCGTGAGAACGGGAGCTCGAGTTGCTCGCTCGTAGAATCCACGACTCTTTTTCGCGAGAGATCGGCCGCTTTCCTCGATCATGTTCCGTTTAGCGCCCACGCGACTTGGAGGAAAAACGAGGGAAGAATCGTGAGAACGCGTGTCTGCACGTTTCGACTTTTCTAGGAAAAAGTTAATGGCCGGCTAATTATCGAAGGGGGAACGGTGGAAACTCATCCCTTTAGGAGATTCGTTCGTGGTAAAAACTTTACAATCGCGACAAGTTTTCTTTCCATCCATGCTGTCTTCCATCCTCTTTGCATGCCAACTTGGCGATGTGAAATTTCTCAATTCGAGAGATTCTTTTCGCGAACGAAGGAAAGAAAAGTTCGAATTTCAAATGTCTTGCGCGAATCAACGATGCAAAGATAAACGATGAAAATTGTAATCTGCCCGCGTTAAGAGAAAGTTAAGTTATAAATATCGACGCGGGGGGATAACGATCGGGGCTTCGATTCCAGGCTCGTTATCTCCAACAATTTTTGGGTCGAACTTTGCCAACTCGACAGAGAGAGAGAGTGTGTGTGTGTGTCTCCGATCGAACGAGCGCTTTGCTACGTGATAATTTCGGGGTATAAATCTCCGTTGGTGGGGGAAGTGGCGGTTCAAATTGAACGGTATCGGCGGGTAAACGGGTTATTTTTGGTAACTCGTCATTTCGGGGCAGAAAAACTCCTCGTGGAGAAAATTAGACGGTACGCGGCAAACTTTCGCGTTTAAAAAAATAAGGGAGTGACGAGAAGAGGAGGAGGAGGAGAATAATCTTCCAAGATTGAATTAACGAACGGAACGAAACGAATTTGAATTAAATTTCGAATGAAAAAGAACACGAAACGAACGAAGAATATGTGCGTGGTCACGAAACGACGCAACAGTTTGTTCGTGGCGACTACGATTGGCCGGAAGTTCGACCCTTACCTGTTGTGGAACTTGTATCTGTAGTCATCCGCGGCCACGATGTCCAGCAGCAGGATGTACTTGGCCTTCGCGTCCAATCCGGAAACTCGGAACTTCATTTGAGGGAACATCTGCCTGGAACCGATCAACGGATACAGTTCGATTAGATTGAGAACCTTGATTATTGAAATAACCAAGCTCGAATTATTAACGGAAGTTGAAAGAAGATAGGCTGCTTCTCTCTTTCATCCTCATTCAAGTTGAGAATATGTTGTAAGAATCGAGCAATACTTTTTCTAAAGAATTCGGCCGCTTCTCTCAGACGCGATCGAATATCCACGGATATCCAATCGCAATACCCCAATTCGACCCATGCGCAGAACGACCCATAGGCGTTCACCACCCTTCATCAAACATACACACATCGATATACTTGCGAGGCAACCTATCTACAGAATTATCATATCGTTATCAAACTTTGCAATATATTTTTACGAGTATTTACTTTCACAGTATTATTTCTTTCCAAGAGATTAGTGTTAAAAAAGCATTTAAAATGCTTCCAAGAGATTCAATTAACCTTGGGAAATTTTCGAGGAAAGAGAAACAAGATTCGCTCTTTCCTCGCTTTCAAAGAGCTGGAGGAAACGCGAGATTAATCGACGATAAGCGTTCGATATTAAATCAATCGAAGATGGGTGGAACGAAAATGCCTGGGTGGAAATGCTCTTGGAGGAATTTTCGTCGGAATCTGGCCGGGGGTATAGGAATAGAAACGTGCACGAGTCAATCGAGTGGCCGCTGTCAGAGGTGGGCGCGGATAAAAAGCGGATCTCGTCGCGGGCCGGGCTTGAAAGAGGAGAGGATCGCTTTGGTGGCGTGGTATCATCATCCCGATCCCGAAGAAAGGGCGCCTCAGAAAACTCGTCGCTCGGCCGCCCATTTCGGCGTGTTTTCACTTTTTCGCGGCCTCCCCCCTCCCGATGGAATGCCGCCACTTTGCGAAAATGCCGGGGCAGCAGAGAGATTGAAATCGTTCCACGTCGACCCTCGAACGAGGCGTTCTTGCGAGCTTTGCTCTTTCAAACGCGCCAAGGAGGAGGAGGAGGAGGAGGAAGAAAGAGATTGTGTTAGACGAGATGGTCAATTGCTCGATCGACGGTTGGATTTCGAATTTGTTCGGAACAATATCGAACGAGGCTTTGCATTATATTTCTACTCGGTTCGAAAGGACAATGGAAGAGGGAGAAATTAGGAGATGGTAGGTTAGGTTAAACGATTGTGACAAAGACTGGCAAGTTGGATGGCCAAGTGGATGGTTCTTGAAGCCGAGTCGAGAGTGCTTCGCCGTAACCAAGAAGAAGATATACTCAAAGAATGATAAAAACAGGATCTTAAAACAAGCGAGAGGATATTCTTGCCTCCGCTTACAAATAATTCAAAATGTAATTATGTAATTACATTTTAGCGACTCTCGGTAACTTTCTTCTTAAAAATAAATAATTAAAACTGAACTTCGAGTCGAGGTATTTTCGCTTAAAAATATATCTTTCTATATCTTTTTCATCATTTTCATACACGAGAGTAAGAAGTCTCTTTTTTCAATAATCTTTTCTCGTTCGAGTTCTCTCTGCAAGCCAAATTTTTCCATCGACAATGGCGTTCGACGTTAAAAGAAGAACGAAGAAAAGATGAACGAAGGCGAACGATGCCACCGATTCATCTCCCTCTCCGTGGACAAAATTCAAAAATTCAATAACCAAGAGAAAAGGAGGGGGGGGGGAGGACGAAAGGAGGGAATAAAAAAAGATAGACTAAGAAGTAGGTTGCTCGTGCAGGGTGGTGGGGGTAAGGAAATTAAAATTCCACCGCAACGGAGAGCTATAATCGGAACGTTCCAATTTACACTGTTCCCCCGTCGCTCGCCCCCTCTCGTTCCTTCTTCTCGTGCCTTCTTCCTTCCACAGCCGCGCAAAAGATGGCAAAAAAAGGGTACGTTCAGCGCAACGCCTCGAACGCACGCCATTATGGAAGCTGCGACTGCCTTAAGAGAAATCGCCGCCTCGACCCCCGTCGAATTATTGTACTTTTGTATGCTAACGGCGCGAGTATCCTTAAACGTAGCCGTTATAACGGCCGGGCCAATTACGGTAATTAGCCGCCATAAACGAATAGCGTCTGAGAAACCACCTCCCCCCTCGGGGCACGAACAATACTAGGCCTCGACCCGCCTCGATAAATATAAGTCGAAGGATGTCGCGGTGTGAACATCCGGATCCTCGTGGATCCATTGTTCCGGGCCCTCTGATAATCAATTACAGATTTCGAAGCGTTTTGGCTGGGATCAGGAAAAATCTTATATACGCGCGTGCGCGCGCGTGTGTGTGTGTGTATACGATCGAATTATTTTTAAGGGAGAAAGACGTTATTCTTTGAATTTTATTATTATTATTATTATTATTATTATTATTATTGGAACAATTTAGAAAGAAATCAATCGTTTGAATCGCGTAAATAAACTTATTACGCGTTATTTATCGTTACACGTTATTTTTAGCTACCTGAAATAAGTACGCGAATGAGTGGAGATATGTTTAAAGGTGAAAGATAAAAAATTGGAAAATTTGGAAGAGATATTATTCGTACCTTTGTACGTAGTGCATGCGTGGACACCACGAATATTGAAAAGGTATAAATAACAATTTCTCTATATAAATGTACGAAGAAAGATCGAGGAAAATAACACGAAAGATTCACGAGAACCAAAGTTTTTCACGCGACGAAGCCGTGAGAGGGGTCGAAATGAAAAATCGGTCGATCGGGCGACTTTAAAAAGCCCGCTCGGGGATTTTTGGTAGCATCTGCCTACTGTCCTGAATTTCGTGACGTGAAGGGAGGAGGCATTCGACCCTCATTCACGTGGAGCACGCAGAAGGACTCTAAGCCGGATTATCCTTGCGACGCGAGGCAAAATATCCCGCGGGTGGATGGTGACGACAACGGCCGGATCCTCGTGAAAAACTTGCGGAGCACAACCGACCACGATCCTTCTTTTTTTTTTTTACGGTTAACGGTTCCCCTCCCCTCTCTCTCTCTCTCTCTCTC